AAGTATATTACTTTTGTTTGTTCTCACGTGATTATCTCGTGTCTACTCATCTCGTTCAGCTGGTTCCGCGAATGGGGGTTTATCCTGTGCGTACCGCATTGACAAGGACATTCAATGATCTGTTTCAACCCGCCCATCGTATGCGGAATTCCTGTTGGAAAAAATGGTCAGTGAAAGTCTCGAGTGGCTACTGTTCTGCTAACGACAGAACGACGGATATCGTTAAACGGTCTGTGAAACAAGTCCGACAGAAAGCATTCATTAAAATACGAGGAGGTCACTAGACTAGTGGTTCCCAATCTTTGTTTCGGTCGGTGTTCTGTCGAATTTATACGCTGTAACTTGAAATAAATGACCCAATAGTGGAATAATCGGTTGTTTCCAGTATATCAGATTGAAAACCACCGCACTAGACAATGCTACACTATTAATGATACTCGTAAACGATCGTATCAAACCAACTGGAATAGAGACAACAGGAAGATAGTATCTACAATTCTATTCGCGTTGACAGAGAAAGAAACGTATTCAGCGCTAATTTAAAGGGGAGACACTAATTAGCTATTCTTACTTGTCTCCGAAGCTCGTACACGTTGTCCTAAAACAACTGTATCGTACGTGGCGTGCAACTCACTTGAAACAGGTCGAATACAAGTACGATTATAACTCTATCCTTGCAAAATAAACGGAGTAAATTAAATCCTACGTACGAAACGATACCCTTCGAACAACGAAACGGGTCCCCAACTACGTGTCTAACTATCGGGATCTTGCGTCAAAGTAACATGCACGCTTTCGACGGCTAAGTTTCCTTCTCGATTTCGCGTGATCCAACACTGGCGGCAAAAATATACGGAAACGAAGTGCCTATCGTAGATCAGTCGCGAGTACAACGAGTTACAGAAATTCTTCTAGATACAACCGAAGGCGAACGATACCGTTACAACCGACGACAAAAATTAAAGTAACAAAAAAAAAAGAAACTGGCGGCGCACGGTAGCGTAGCCGCCTTCGACAACAATTACAAATAAAAATAGACAACTCCCTCGCATCACCTCGTAGCGTGTTCGCCACGGACAACAAATAAAAAAGAAAATATAACGTTCTCCAATGTGGTAGCGTGCTCGCTACACGAACAACAAATAAAAATAAAAGAAAAACAACAGAAATTCTTCTGGAAATGGAAGGCGTACGGGACCGTTGCGACCGACAACAAAAACGATAAAGATGAATCGGTAGCGTGCGGCAACGTAATCGCCTTTGACAACAATACAAAACGAGAGAATCGTTTCTCCGATCATTCCGTAACGTGTTCGCTACGACGAATGATACGAAACGATGAAAGAAAACTTCGTGGAATCCTTCGGTACTGTTACGCAGCGTGTTTCGCTACCGTTTGCGTGGTGTCTAGCGTGAAAACTCGCTCATGGATAGCGTGATCAGATATTAGACGGTTGTTTTTCTTTTTGCTTTAACGGGCAGCGACAGGAAAGAAAACCCCACTAACAGACCAGAGCGACATCTCGCTAAGGTAGCGTAAGCAATTCGTACGTTCTGTAGCGTACCAGGAGGCGACCCCACTAAAGAGCAGTGGTGCGCAGGTGGGGACAGCGCTGTAGCGACAGGCCCCGGGGCCCCAGCTCCTAAATGGCGTTCAATGCGCGCGAGTCCTGTTGCTGGCGACGCCTCGATGCACTGCCATTGTCGACGCCACCAACGTACGGTTCCTCCTCGGTGCCGTAGTATCTTCTCGTTCCCTCGGTCACGTGTCCGCCGCTATACGAGCCCGATCCTGGATTTCATTAGAAAACGTACGTTACTGTCAACGTTGTTCTATCGACGATTCACAGCCTGCAACTTCTGTAAACTTTACGATACTTGTGTGTTCGAGGTTGGTTACAGAAGCCAGGCTTTGTTTACGGATAGACTACGGATTCCGATGCATATCTATGGTTCTGTGTTTAAGAACCGTGGAAATGTGTTTCTTGAATTTCGTAGCTTCAGATATTTATTGGCTATGAATGCATAGGAATTCGTAACCTACGAGTTCTGTGAAATTCGAAAGACCTCGAGCTATTGTAACTTGATTTTCTACTACATTCGACGAAGCAGATAGTAGAGCCTTTCGAATTTCACTGCGTCAAGCTCGACAATCGTTTGGAGAATCTCAGACGGATTTTGAAGGTTTGATCAATCTTTGTAAGCGTTTGCGCTTCGCTCGATATTCGCCGTGTTGCAATGCGAAACGTCGAGCTTGCGATACATCGATTTTCAGTGGTATTACTCAAAAAACTATATTATAAGAGAGTGTTACTCCGATTACAGTTAATTGTCACTGCGAATTACGGTAAGGATCGGATCAATCCACCTACGTGTCACATCTAGGAACACTGAAACACCTCACTCACAGTGCATGCAGGCTAGCTAGGCAGAGAGAAAAAAAACAAGAGAAAAAAAGAGTAAAGAATGATAAAAGAGACACGCCGCAAAGACTCCGACGTTTGAGCTTCCTTCTGTGCGAAGACCGAGAAGTGAATACGGTTGAGACTCGACCGAACTCATCCCCCAATGGGTGATCCCCCGGGGAAGAAAAAAAATTCTTCAGCGAAAGTGATTCGCGTTAAAGGATCACAAAAACAAGCCAACGTTCCAAGAGGATCTCTTCGAGGATCGATGGCGATCCTCTACAACGAAATCGATTCCAGTCGATCCGAAACATGTCTCCTCTCGACTACACGCGGCCGCATCGTTAATTCTCGGACAAGTTAGAGAGCTACTCTATATCAACCTATTCTATGTGAGAGGGGTTGGTGAAGGGCTAGCGAGACTGCCAACAAAAAGAAAAATAAAGAGGACCAACGAAACCGATGTTCTAATGAGAAACAAAATTACAATAAATAGAATGATCCCCTGGCCGCGTCGAATGATAAAATAATACGGTATTTACCCCCACAGTGAACACAAATACTTGAAGTCGTTGCTCAGGAACCTTTTTTTACCAAAGAAGTTCAACGTAAAAGAAAAAGTATCGTTCTCTTCTCAGAGAAATTGGTAATCTACTCGAACAGCTCGCTTATCTTCTTATTGCTTTCGTTCTTTTGGACAACCGAATCGATTAGAGCTTATCTTAAGACCTGAAACTGATCAAGAAGATATACTATGCTAACGCGAGGCTTGTCGGAACCCTGAAAAAATGATCGATACTATGGGAGTGAATACCGTAGAGTAAGTTGAAAGGTTTTAGGCGAGGGGGGGCAGAAACAAAAGTAACCAATAAACATAAATCCGTCTGTTTGGTGAAGAGAAACAGGTAGGTCCCGTTCACCGGGCCCATGCACCAAACCCGTCTGTACTTACTACGCGGCCCCATAAAGGAGGTTTCCCTATTTACACAGTCTCTAATTCTCTGAACCTCACCTCCCCCGTGACTAGGGGAGGACCCCTGTACAATTTCATCGGGGGTCTACGCCGTAAAATTCTCGTCCGCGCGTCGGCGAGTAGGAAGAGTTGGAAGAAGCCGGCCGTTTCTAGGCGGACCGCCGTCGTCGAGCGAGCGGTCCTCGTTAACTCGACTCTTTCGGCTTGCCCTCGTCACCCCGGCCATAGGTGAACTGGCCCTGTTTTCGGATCACTCCCGTGGCAGCCACCGCCTCCACCACGGCTTTTACACGTAAACAAAGAGAACATCGGAGTCAGAGCTCGTCGCTGATCGCGTGTCCACCTGTGGTCGCTTTTCGTTCGCTTTTTTTCCGATTTCTTCTCGTCTATTCACGTTTCACATAAAAATTCCCTAACCCCACGTTGCATCGGGGTGTATTATGATCAGATGACAGAACAGTGTTGGGCAAGATTTTAGTCGAATTCGGGGTGAAGCCGAATGAGAGATTATTAAGTGATTTCATCGAATAACGCCCAATTCTGCGATGAAGATCGAGAGACGAAGGAGTAGGTTTCTGGATGGAGATTCTAACTAGCATCCTCGCGAGCGCGTTAGTCTGATGATGTTAGTCTTGCTTGAAACGGTAACACGCGTGGATTGACGAGTTCGATTCCCAGTTGATAGAAATTACGCCATTGTCGACGAGCCGAGTACAAGAGAAACTACGGAACGCGGAGAAAGATAAAACAAAGGAAAATTAAATGGTGTAGAATTGAAAATTAACGAGGTAGTAAATATAATAGAATGAAATGCATGTAGTGCTACTAGATTCATCGAAAAATCCATCTCTTTCAGACTACTCTATCAGCACAACGTATCATTAATTTGTCTAATCTCGTAATTACATTCTATCCACCACCGATGCACCGAACGATCAATAAAACGAATCCACCCGTGTCGGGACAGCAAACAGCTTGGCGCGTGCACAATGTAAGCCGCAGATGAAACGAGACGGACGATAACGCGCAGATGAGATGAGTGCACGAAGAAAAATTGAATGGAACGGCGACGGTTTCGTTCCCGTTCGTTGCGAGCGGCGGGAAAAAAAATACTGGCGACGAGAATGAACAAAGAAAACAAGACGAGGAGACGTTTGAAACTAACGAGAGCAACCGCGCCATTGTTTCGGCGCGGTTGATACAAGTTCGCCGATCCGTGTACCGTCGCTGAAAAGAAATTCAATGTGAAGGTGCCGCCGCCACTCGTGCGGCTTATCCATGAGCACTCGTCGGCTACGTTCTAATTCGTCACGCTCGTGTTTCGCTCGATGACTCAAAGACTGCTAGTTTCGGTCTACCAGCTATCATGCAAATCTCGGGTTGCGTCATTGTACTAACGGAAAGGTGGGGAACCGAAATATTTACAAGAGAAAGGATCGCGCGCGTTGTTCGATTAATGTGCGTGAAAAGATCTTTCAAAAAGTAGCTGGAAAAACTTCATTTTACGGAAGTTACACTGGAAACCAATACAAATTTCCATCGATCGAAATACACTTGTTCCTTTTCCTTCTAAAACAAAGCTTGAAAAAACGAAACGTCCATTAATCGAACAACACTCGCAGATCCCAGCAAAGTGCATACAAGGAGGAACCCGCAGCGCATCGAAAGTGCCGTGATAATCAACAGGCAACAGAGGTCGCAGCGACTAGCAGTCTTCCCGTTGGATGCCTCTACTCTCTACCACGAATCCATGCAACGGCTACGTGCAACCAATGACAAAGGTGTAGCGTGTTTCATTACTAGCTTCGAATGTCGCCCGCGCGCGAAATGGAATCACAGCGACGCCGCGGGACGCTTCCGATCGAAGCTCGGCAAAAAAGAAAAAAAACGCGGGGTCTCTCTCGCTTTCACTTTGCGTGTATACATATCTACTGATGCGCATTTTCATCGAGCGAGTAACGGAACACAAAAGCTGCGCGACGGTGAAAACTCAAGGAGGGACAGAACGTGTGTAACAATGTTGCGCTCGAAAGGAGTAGGTTGGGTTACCTCTTGGCTCGTGGCCGTAGTAACTCTGGCGACGGGCACCTGAGGGGGCACAAGAAGAAAGTGTCAAGTGTTAGTTGACGGAATTGGGGCTCGTTAGAGTTTCGAGTGAGCTAGAAACCTCGACCCCAGCCGCTAGGCCGGGGGTGGGAGAGGATTGATACTGAGGCTTGTGAAATGGACCGACAAGAAAAAAATCAAAATCTCGATCGAATCCCGGCGGTACCCACCAGCGAAGCCTTAAGCCAGCTTCCCTTCCCCTGACGACGCGACGACCGTCACCCAACATCCCACTGATCGCACGGATTCACCGGAAAACGTATATTCGCCCTGTTCCCGAGTCTACCCTGGATGAATCGCTTTTTCCAAATACAAATACTCTACCCTGACCCGTGGGGCACCCGGTGCAGCGGAACAGTTGCTGGTCATTGTGCAAGCGACACCATTCTCCGCGATAATGAAACCCACGTAGAATATTTGTACTTCGAAACATTCAGCTAAACCGATATCCACGGAAGTGCCCACGCCGGTGGCTCAGGTCGCGTCGAAGTTGAACGTGTTACCTGATGTGACGCGCGGTGTCAGCGCGTCGACGGGCGCGTCGGGCGCTGGGATCGGCCGCGCCACTGTCGCGATCACCGGAGGATGCGTGGCCCTCCAGTAGGCTTCCAGGTACTCGGCCACGTGGTCGCACGCGTCCTCCAGCTGGTTCTCGTCGAGGATCACGTCGAACATCTCGGCTGGACACTGCGCCAGCTTCTCCGCCGCCACCATCTGCACGTTCATGTTCTTCACCTGCGACTTGCCGCGTGATTTGATCAACCTCTGCAGCACCTTCGGCGACGAAATCTTCAGGTAGACGATCGTGGGAGCTAGACTGGTCTTCGCTAGCTGCGACGGGTGGTTTATGGTGTCGCAGTCCAGAACTACCAGCTGGAAGATGGACGAAGAATTGATTTCTGTGGCTTAGAGGATGGAGCTTGATATTTTCAACGTGGCGTGCGACGGAGTTTGTAGCAGAAGTTCGAGGACGTCGATAAGGTACCTGGAGAGTCCTGGCAAGCTCGAAAATCCTCTCGATTTCCGCTTGAACCTTGGCTAAACAGCTGCTCCTGTTGGTGGACCGTTCCATGATCGCCCTTTTCGTTGGGTTGTTCAACAAGGACCTCTTCGCTAACGATATATCAGCTGCCACCCTGGTGATAATTATCCTGAAATGACGTAATGTTAGTTTTAACTTCTTCGAGGAACCAGTTGCACTGGTCAGAGAGAGTTTGGCTAACCTGCCCTCGAATCGATGCTTCAGGAAATCGAACAACGCCTTCTGCATCATATCCGTGACCTGATAACCCTTCAGCGAAGGACCCACCAAGACGACCGGCCTCATGGAAGGTACGACGTCATACGGTGTAGTCGTTTCCTGAAAAAAATTGGGTAGTTAGTGGGTCCCGTCGATAGAGGAGTCCCATACGACAGGATCAGCCCCAGGATAGTCTCACTTACGTAGGACTTCGTGAGCACGGAATGCAACATTGAAAACATTGAAAACAGTTAATGGCCACGTTGACTCGAGGCATGCGACCTACCCTCCTGCACGGCCAAAGGACCTTCCGGTTCAGGTAAATCATTTCTCTTCAGCGTCCAAAGGCGCTTTGGCCAAGCAGTGTCTTCGATAACTATCGACCTACGCTATCAACGACTTCCTACGGACTAATCTGATCGGTTATCGTTCTAGTCTACCGTTTCGATTTCTCTTAGTACCCAGAGCAAGGATTTATTCAACCCTTTCAAGCTGAAAAATAGTGGTCTGTCGTCGTAAGAAATTTTTCTGTGAAATCATGGGGATTTCAGAGTCTCGCTAAAATTCCTCGGAATATTCAGCAAGCGTCGGTGGTCTTAAAAGGGTTAAATAGTCGAAAGTATTCTTCGAAAAGCTCGAGCAATTTCTATACGTGAAACGCCGATGTAGACTCGAGTTTGTAAATACATGTTCCTTTACGAGCAGCGGCGCTATTAATTTCCTCAAAAATCACAAGCACTTGCTCTCACTTTTCAGAATCACGGATTCTGAGTGCGTCTGGCAGTGTTAATGGCTCGGAACCGAATGTTCCTCTTATTCATATTACCAATTTGGACACACCGCCAGTCCAACTAACTTCAGATGACACTCTATTAACCTACTTGCACTGTCTCCTGTCTGTCAGGCTAAATCTTTGCTCTAGTATATAGCGTGACTTCATTAGAAAACGTGTTTGGGAATATTCTTACCATTACTAAAAAAAAAAAGTAGTTCATGTAAAATACACAGTTGGTCCCAAAGAAACTGCTGCAAGAATTGAAGTATATTCGACTAGCTGAAAACAATCTCCTATGTTCTAACAATACTGCGTTTACACGTTGAACGAACCAAGAAGGAGAGAGGTAACTTCTCCCGCTTTTAGTCGGCGATTCGGTCGATCGCTGGGACCAACTGCACAAGTTCACCTCGATTATCGATCGATGCTAGAAACCGCTACTCACATCGACACATAACTGACACATAAAGAAGAAAATAACGTTTACTCTCCACCTGTTCATAGAGCAGTCTCATCGGGGTCTCGAAACGATTGAGTTCGCCAGCGAAGAGGAGGACGAAGAGGAGGAAGAAGAAGAAGAAGTAGAAGAAGAAGAAGAAGAAGAAATAGATGAAGATGATGAAGAAGATGAAGAAGAAGAAGCGGCTCTCCTTGGTACGACAATCGTTGAAAGCACGCGCGAAATTATTACATAAACTCGCCTCGAGAGTTACGAGGTTCCGAGTGCCCGTCCGGCGTACTTTTTCAACAAATACACGATGCAGAAGAGTTTGCAGGCCCACACACACAGCCGCAATATACTCACAGAAATAAATCTGCTAGTCCTCGCGTGGCCCACGATATTTTCTAGCACCGACTGATAAATTTAGACACTAAAGCCTCGTACACGTCACAGAACGTTTATCGCGGGCGTACGGAATCACTGCCAAATCCAAAAAATCCCCTTGGACAATTCCTAACTATGACAATATCGTGAAACAATGCGTTAACCCTTCGCGATCCTGCGTCAACCGTGGCACAGCGTGAGTTTTATTCTGAGATGCACTTCTATATTGAAAATTGTTCAGTCGTTACCTTACGAGAATTCTTTTCACTATTTCCTTTCAACTTTCGAAGTGCATCTCGAATACAGTTGGAACCGAATCGAATTATTTTCTATTCATTCCCTAATATTTAAAAGTTCGGTATCTATACTGGTTTTCTATGGAACAGATTTTTAATGCTTCATAGAATTCTCATTCGCAGAGGGTTAACGTCTCGGCGATTCTCGTGAACGAGGCTTCGCGTGCTTGCGTCCAGCCGACGTCTAACGAAGCTAGATCGAAAACTTGTGACCAGGCACGACGTTCAAGTGTACATAAAGGATGGATCGGTCGCAGACACTGCGGACGCGTCGTCAATCGTTTACCGGCTTCTTGAAGAAGTTCTTCCGCTTCTCCTTCGTCGGCGGCGTCGTCAAGGTCGCCTTCCCGCCCCGCACGTTCCCAACGCTGTCGCTGTCGTCACCTGCCGAGGAGACAGAGACCCGATTAATCGGGAACGAACACGGCTGATCCTGTGCAACGATCAGTGTCCCTCTTTCTCTCAAGGTAGCTAGTGAGAAGCTTCAGAACGCGATGCAGTTCTAAGTACCTAGGGTAACTAAGTCGATGCACTGAATCCCATCATCACAGAAGCGACTACTAGTCGCGGGATTGATACCGAACACGTCGACACCGTTCCGTGTGGAATTTGGCACCACCTACTCGGTAATCGATAGTGGCACCGTGGCATCGAACTTTCTTTCGAGTGTTTCATGGAGAACGTTGATTGCTCTATTTGGAAACAGCTGGGATCGATGGAAAAATTGTTTCACGCTGTATTGATCTACTCTTGTATTAATTTCTCGATCGAGACTTGAATATTTTCGTTGACAATTGATAAAGTAGGAATATTAATAAGTAGTGTTCTTCAAAATTTAACACTAGAACTACCATACCAGTCAAGATGATATTTTCAAAGCATCGAATATCTGAAATGATTTTCAAAATAAATAGTTCCACTTGAGTACTATGATGAATGTCTGAAGAAACTGAAAATAATCTATTGTTACAATTTTTATAGGAATTGCATATTAATCGTATTAAATGCTCGGTAGTTCTAGTGTTGATACGGAATGTATTTTTATTTCGAGCGTTAATCGTGCCATACGATCATTGGAATTTCTCGGTACCGATTCGGTATCAATCCCAGGACTAGCCACTACGAAATATATTAAATTACAGCGGTACTAAAGTGTCACGGACGTGTGTTCGTGTGGGGCGTGTGTCGACTGGTGTGGTGACTAGCGATGGGCATGACCGTAGCCGAAATTCGCGTGAATCAAAAGCAATGGACAGTCGGCGCTAAGATGAAGCGTGCATGGATCATTAAGGAAACCGTGAAACCGGACATAAACGTCGAGTTTACGCTACCGCGGGCATCATTCCGAGATCGTCTACTAATAAACCAGCTTCCCAATGATCCATTCAACGGTAACTAAATCCCCTATAACGCTAGTGATCCTCCGGAACCGACGATCGCCGGCTTACCGAGCAAACTAAAAGGGCGAAGGTGGTGAGAAAGGGGTAAGGGTGTGTGACAAGCTCGCGTGTGGAAGAAACGAAAGCTACAGTGTGTGTTCGTAATGTGTGACGTGTGTATGTATGTTCTGAGATACTTAAGGCCAGAAGCGCAATGTGTTCGTTCGGGTTTCGTTTTCTCGTTTCGTGTTCGTTATGAATTTTCCGTTCTTTCTTTTTTTGTTTTTTGTATCTTTCGCCGCAGAAACGATCCCTCCGCAACTGTATCCCGCCGTGGATCGGTCAAGATGAGAGAATCCCGGTACAGCTCGAGACACCGTGGTTTGTCGGGTCGGGGGAAAGAAAGAAGGACGTGCTAGGATACCTGGTGTAGGTGGTGTGGAACCACGTGAGGGCATACCACTCTCGCCAAGGTTCCCTGAAGACCCTCCGCGCGCCGAGTACAGGCCCTTCGTGCCACGCGCAGCGCTCGCCTGCTGCCTCAGGGCCTCCAACTTAACCGGGGACGGGATGAAACCGACGTCCGAGTTCTCTTTCACGAGCCTACCTATCCACCAGTTGTTGTCATACTTCTCCTGAGGGATACAGGGAACAACCATTAACGTGGAGCTCGCGGATTCACTTTTCTAGACTGTTTCTTGTGTAGAAACTTCTCGTGATACATCGGTTGTTCTAGGGTTTGCTTGGTCAACCTCGTAGCGAAGGACTGAGAAGAGTCTGTTGATTTACCTTAATGTGCAGAAAGTCGCGGACCTCGAAGCTGACTGCCGAGCCATGCACCGGCGAATCGTCGTCGACGGATCCGTCATAGCTCACATTGGTCCGCACTGCAAACGCTACCGGTTTCGTCTGAATCATTCGAAGAGGTCTATTAATAACGATCGTTATCCGATCACTTTGCAAAGGGTTTAAGTATTCAGATTTCGGAGTGCAAGATACTGTACGCGACGAACGTTGTTAACCCTTTGCACGCGAGAGGTGATTCTCGATCATCATTAGATTTGGTATAGGGAAATCGTGAAGTTAAGCACGATGCATCGATACGCGAGATATCGATATGGAATAGCTCTGTGAAGAACTGTCGAGCGCAAAGGGTTAATCGTAATCGAGCGACGGAGAGGAAAAGAAAACGCGCCGGCGTCCCGATGATTTGTTAACAATTACCGGATCAACGAGGTCGAGCGGCGTATTCGGCGTCGGCGAGGGTTGCTCAAGTAATCAAAGGCAATAATATCATCAAGGCTGGGTACACGTACAATGCATCCCGCGTCCTATCGTCGGAACAAAGGAACGCGGGACGTTTAATTGGTTTCGCCGGGCAGCCTCTCGGTGAAATCTCATTAGTCTGGCGCTGCGCGTATTCATTGACACGCTTTTCATTCCGTCGCCGGCGACTTAGACGGCCGCGGGGGTCGGCGTCGAAGGCAATGACGACGTTCGGAAGTGGCCGATCGATACGAAACGATTTACGAAAGGCCCACCGACGCTGAGAAAACACCGAAAGGATGGAACAGGCCAGGCGGACGGGCGGAGAGGAAAGGAAACCGGAGCACACGAAAGATCAATGACTTACCCTGGCTTTTTCAAGTTGACTGAGGGCCTGCCTCTCCTTCTCGCGTCGCAAGCTCTCCTTCTCCTCGTCCAGCGAGAGATCCGAGCTCGGCTGCGAGTAGTTCGAGTCTGCCGAGCCCTGAAACGCAAAACAAACCCGTTGAAATTGCGCCCCGAGGCGGCCAATGTTATTACTTCTGAATCATTATCTCCTCTTTTTTCGCCGGATCCACCAGAGGAATATTAAAATCCTCGCGGACATTCGACGCTCCGATCATTGTAATCTGCGACTGAGTAATTCAACAATATGCCTCGAGTCGAACAGATTTTATAGAGTTCAATTCGATGTAATGAAAATTACCTTCGAGGTTCCTTGAAACATACATTTTGCCCCTAATTGAATTGTTGTAACGTGTACAATCGTTATATTTGAATCGACACTAAGGATCGATTCGGAAAACAGAAACGGAGTCACAGTGGCAGACACGTTATTTCTCGACGTTCCTTGACTCCTATCTCTTTATCGATTACCCCGAGTCGGGCTCGAACGACTATAATCTGGAAGTTGGAACTCCGCACGGTCATTACACCGTGCTCCACATTCACGGGAAATTTGCCTACCGGCGAAAGGCGACGGGCCTTCCAAGATTTTCCTCGAAAACCTCCGGCCAGAACAGTCGCCGCGACGGGTCCCGATGTTTTGTCCAGGGAAAGCCTCCAGGGGAAGTTTCTCGAGGGCTGTCACCGTCGGGCCATTAGTTTAAAAAGGGGAACCGGCCTCGACGGGGTCTTCGCGAACGTTTCCGAGTGGCAGTTTGTGTAATTGTTTGTTATTTGAATCGGCTCAGCGCCGTCTCTTCGGAAAACGGGCCATTTCGCGTGCGCTCGGCGCGGCTTTCGTTTAAAGAGCCTCTGAGCCGGTTTAACTCCTTGCCTTATGATTTCTTTTAGAGCCTACTATAGAGTTACGACTATTTTATCCCTAATAACTCGCTAGAAGTAGGCTACACTTACTAGAAACACGAACAGTTTATAACAAGAAACTGACATTTCATTTCAACTCGAACGAATAGTGTCACGTTCCTCAAACCGGACTAGTCAAAGATATCAAACGATAAATATTTCTCGCGAGAAATTCGCTGAACATCGAAACTATCGAGCACAGTAGAAATAGACTGGTCCTAGTGAGACACTAGGATTTTTCTACATAGAGAATTATTTCATCGGCCACGTGTAAGAACCTGCTTATTAAACTGTCGGAAGCAAGGTTCTATTAATAAGTTCCCAGTTGTTGTTCCATGGGTTGTACGGTAATTGTTGGCATTAAAAGAACCAGTTAAGAAATCCCCATCTATAAATCATCGATTTTTTTCAGCCGTTGGATAACACGTCTCGTAAGCAGAACGTTAACAGAATTACTTGACGAAACGAATAAATCAGTTTCAAGGTGATGCGACGTCGCGCGATTTGAAAGGTATTAGTGTCGCGATTAAGTAAACAGCATCGGTTTCACGCTTGCGTCAGGAATCATCCGCGACAAGAGTTCGTATTCTATCTATACGGCGCTGCGACGCCATTCGTTACGTCACCGCGGCCGGTACGTCCGGCCAAGTGTCTCAGGAAACACGGTGCGTCTCTCTGGTTGTTCGTTGGCAACAATGCGAGAACGGAAGGGAGCTCGATTAATTCCAGTTTCGAATTAATCGGGTCCCGAAGCCTTATCCGCGCGCCTCGTAAACAACAGATCCGCCGAGGCGAGACGCAATTTGTAGCAGTTTTATCGATCAGCCCGTTGACATTGACATATTGATCCGCCATGTTGAAAGTCGAAGCCTCCGCTTGTCCCGTAATTAGACACTTAATTAAATGAGAAGGATGACCGCCGAGGCGCACCGAGTGCCCCGGACGACGCTGGAATTTGCATTTTTCCGGCTCGACGCGGAACGTCCCGAGGTTTCGAATTTCGCGAGGCTCGCTTTTTGAAGAAATATTCCCTCTCCCTCGGCCCTCGGCGGATTGTCAAGAAATTTTTCATAATTTCACCCGCCGCCTGACATTGACGTATTGATCCGGCATCCTCGAAGTCGACGCTTCTGTCTATCCTGTAATTGAACGTTTAACTCAACGCGAAGAATGGCGGACGTCTGTCGGTGGATGGATAGACGAAGTCGCTGGGACGGATCTTAAATTTGCGCCTCGACGTCAATTTTTAATGTACCTTGACGGTTCAACTTTGAGCCCTTAGCACTCCGGGTTGTTTTGTAATCTATCAGCAACTGTAGCTAATTTTTATAGTGTCCCTAGCGAAAGTGAGAAATGCTGTAACATTTCTTCGATCTTTTATTTTCCTTAGTACAAAATGTGGATGTGTGGAAAACTGAATAATTTAGGGTAGTTTCTTTAAGATCCATTAAAATATTTAATAACTGGTGCAATATTGGAGCCTACAGAGTTCAAAGGGTTAAGGGATCGCGTTCGATTCTTGGTAATTTTATGCAGTAACGCAATTCTTAATTTTATTTTGCATCTGTCGACACAAATATGAAAAATACGATCTAAGTTGATTCCTGTGTTTAAATATTTGATGAAAAGTGTTCGTTCGATTGATCAAGATATTAAAATTCCACAGACCGCCGATGATATTTTGAAGTGCCCAGTGGCTAACTATCGAGTGGAAATGGTAACAAAAGAATCGTGTAAATCATATTTCACGTGTCGATATTATTTGCAGAAGAATTCCACTGGCCCCACATCCCCTCGCCGAAAAGGAATTTTTCCCAGAGAATGAATTATTCGATTGGGGGTCGTAGCCATGCCAACGGCCTATACTTAATCGCGTCTCAGCGGCTGTTTCTCGTGCGTGACTGTGTAAATTTGTCTATGCGTACTAACCCGACCTTGCCCGTCCTTGGGCGGCCCTTAAAAACGAGGATGGTCTTAATGAATCGAGCAAAAACAGCATTCGCTTTAGAAATTCTTGCTCCGAGTCCCTTCGCGATTACCCCTTCACCTCGTTGACTCGGTTATAAGGTCGTCGGTTACATCGAAATGGCCAACCACCCGTGTTTCGCGTGTATTTTGTAAACAAATGCGTATAAGGGCATCCATGCTCCGTCTTGCTATAGTATTATTTATAATATTTATAATATTCACTCGGGAGACCACTATAAATAAGAAATCGATGAAGTAAACACGCGGCAGCTTCGCCAGTAAATAAAAAATCGAGGATACCGGTGGATTATAGGAAAAATGTAACATAAAATACTTTATAGACCGACTCAACACGAAGACAAAACGAAAACGTGAGCTTCAATTCGTACAACGCATCCTTTATGATATAAGAGTTTGCCTGTTCGTGGCACATCGTCTCTACTTGCTGCAGATTCTCCTCGTTACGCAAACTGTCGAAGTTTCACGAACACTCTCTAATTATAAAATGGCAATCTAATAAAGTTAACGGTCTATCGAAACGAGAACTACCCTCGTTTCCGTTAAGGGAAGAATATTAAAATAAAAACGTTATCGAAAACAAAGTGGATTGATGTTTCGTGTAGTCTAAAAGGCACGAGCGAATATTCTACACCGATGGAACGGCCGAGTATGCTGGCCGGGCAGCCGAATGGCATAAACAAAGTAATAAAAAATCGACGAAAGCGTAAGAGTAAAAAGTGTCTATAACGAGGATGAAAAACATCGACCACGGGGGCAATGGAGCATACCGGAAACGCTCGGTTTCACTCTGAAAACGTAAACCAGATCGATTTAGATTGCAACGCAAAGGATCGGGGGCTCTGCAGCGATAACACGGCTCAACGGTTTTATTTCACGCCAGGCTGATTAATGGAGAACTTCTATGACGCGTTGCGAGCCCCCATAGAGGGCCCTTTATAAAACTGAGAAAGAGAAGAAGAGAAAGAAGACGGTGCCGCGGAGAACTTCCCTTCGCGACTGATTTACTTTGTAAGGTCCTCGATTCGTTGACACCCCCTGTTACAAGGGTTATCCCCTGGGGGACGCGGCCCGTATTCGTGTCGCGTGCAAAAAATAACTAGAAGGCCTGCTGAACTCCCGGGATTTAAATAATTCGGGGTAGTTCCCATGGCATCGATCTTCGGGGAATGTGTGTCACAATTAACTCGTCCGTTCATTTCATTTCCATTTGAACGTTGGACAGCTAAAGAGGCGGCTACTAAAAATAAATGTCTCCGGAGAAGAATTCCTCGCGAATCGGCGAGGTACGAAATATAAATCGATGATTCTCTTGTTCCAGAAAAAGTTTATAGGAATTAGTCGAATCGGTCTCTAGTCTCTCCGCCTCGATTCTACTCGAAGAAACGAAGTAACGATAACCTAACTTGTACAGCAGCCCGCAGATCACGCGCTAATAACATTCACCCCGCAGACCCCGCAAGATTGATCGACTGATTTGGTTTAAGGGCGTCGACCTGCTAGATCGTTGACCCACTTTCCGGCTTACTTTCACTGAACCCTCTCTTTTGTAGTTTCTTACGTGTCTCAGTCAACGTAGGAAACCAACACCTAGCGTCAACTATGCCAAACGCATAATTTGACGTTACAACCCCGAGTTGATCTAACTTCTGACGTCCCCTTATCAATATTTCAAGCAGCCGTCCCATAAATGCGTAGAAGTGCACTGCAGACCTCGTTACCCGTACCATCCGTTCAAAGAATATTATCAACGAATCGCACAGCTTGTTAAGGAGCTATCCTACTGACGTGACATCCTTCGATCCATAAAACTCTAACGAACTACTCGATCGTTTAGTATCTCTGATCCGAGGTACCTGAGTGAACAGCTTGTTGTAGCCAGAATTGTGTTGATTGTATCCGATCATCGCCGGAAACCACCACCGAAGTCGCCAGGGCCGTTCTTCGTGCGGCAGTTACCAACTACCGGTCGGGCCCCGACACCGTGGCGGCCCAGTTTCGATCTCGGTAACCCGAGGCTGAGGCTCGACGTTGATCCGCTAAGCTCACGCTTAGCACGCGGCTACCGCATTGCGTCTACACGGGTCTCCAGGTTTTCCTGGGCCGTTTCGCGGCCGGTGCCGGCCACCCCGTGCTCGGGCGTGCGAACGTGAACACACAAGCCGCGACGACGACGACGACGACGACGAC